AACAGGAGAGAGAGACACTCCAGGGGTAAAGGTGGATTTGAATTGTTTTACTTTTTTTGGGGTGTACCACTTTTATTTTTGAGAAGGCTTCATTGGTTAAAGTTAGTTTTTTAGGATATTTTACTTATATAAACTATATACTTGTATATTTTAAATTCATTTATAAACTAAATGCCTTTTTTAAATATCTCAAAAATCATCAAAAAAGGTAATGCAAGTTTAATTTATAATTGATATATATTAAATACCTATTTGTTTTAAATACCTTTCTTAAATGTCTTAAAAAAATATATCAAAATATATCATTGAAATATCTGCTTAAATCAAAGATTTCTTTGTTTTTTAGAGTAGAACTCGCATTTCTTTCAGAGTTTGGGGTTCTGGAACCCCCAAGGCCCCTTTTGGAACTTGCCCCTGGCACAAGCACACATTCGTTTTGTATTTGAAGCTAGTACCCTTTAAGTATCTAGGGTATATATGCTATATGTCATAAAAGCCAAATCAAATATTTAAAAACTATATTTTAAACTTAGTAAAAGGAAGGAAGGATAAAACAAATATATATTATACTTAATAATATTAAGAAAAATATTAACTTCTTACAGCTTTTTTGTAATGCAGCTTTCTTTTACAAGTAAAAGAAATCCAGGGTATCTATTAATCGGTGATTTCTCTCCTATTCTTTTCTTTCTTTTTGCTTTTTTAGGAATATATTTTAAACTAAATAAAGAGAGGAAAGGATATTAAAACTATATTTTATACTTTATGATAAGTAGAACTGATATTAACTTCTCATCCGCTTATTGTTATGCAGCTTCCTTCACGAATAAAAAACAGGGTATCTATTAATCGGAGCTTTCTTTCAAACTCTTCCCTTCTTTCTTTATGCTTTTTTTAAGAATATATCTTAAACTAAATAAAGAGAAAAAAGGATTTTAAAACTATATTTTTAACTTAATGAGCTTCCCATATGCAGCTTCCTTTCACAAGTAAAAAAAAACAGGGTATATATTAATCGAAGCTTTCTCTTGAACTATCCTCTTCCCTTTTTTCTTTTTTTTGTTTTTTTTCTTTGTGCTAAAGCTTTCGTTGTTGTTTTCCCCGTTGCTTTGCTTTGCTTTCGGTTTGGTTTGCCTTGGTTATTATTAGCTTCCACTGGGCTTCGTGCCCTCCATTCCAGTTCACTTTCCCCCCGCCTCCTTCCACTGCCTTTCCTTTCCTTTCCATTCCCTTTCCTTCCGGTTGCGTGTATGTATGTGTATGTGTGTGTGTGTGTGTGTGTGTTTGTCCAAATTGCACGGGATTATGGGTCTTAATTTTATGATTGCTTCTTTAATCAGCCTCCGTAACTGCACGCCAATTATGTCCTGGTCCGTGCTAATTGTTTCTGTTTCTGCTGCTATTTCTGTTGCCCCCCCATATCCTTCCATCCATGCTTCCTGCTTCTCCTTGCTTGATATCCTTTGCCTCTGCACCTCCTCCATGCCGTGTAATCGATGTGTGTTATTTGCGATTAGTCGGGCACCAAATGAGTTGGACGAGTCTCGCTCGTCACGTCCTCCACGCCCAATTGAAGCCAAAAACCTACTCACTCCCTGGACTCCTTGGGAGCATGTCCTCCAGGATGAAGACAGGAGGGGGTTGTTGGGAAAAGGTAATCGGAATTTTAACTCAAGATCAAGGATTGAGGAGATCGCAAAAAGGGGGAAAGCATTGATTTTTATCGCTTAAAAAGTCCTAATTTAAATTTCATTAAATTATATATAGATATAAGATAAAAAATATACAAAGTTATATCTTTAACTAAGAAATAGATCTGAAAAAAACTTTAAGTTCAAGTTAATTCATATAAGAACTCAGAATTCATTTAATTAAATTACCTTTGTAACAGTTTCTTCTTTCCTTACAAAGAAATGTCATCTTTCAAACAATAGAATAAGTAATTACATAAAAAGGAAATTACATTAAATTAGTATTTCTTCTTTGCAAGTAGGGCACATTTAATTAAATTAGTATTACTATTTTTGGAGCACGTACCTGAGACTGTGACATAATGAATGCATGCTTAACCATAATAAAATGTTGCGGCATTTCGTACAAGTTGCATACAACATGTAACCGATTCTGAGATCCGGAGATGAACCTGTGATGAGATGAAGCCCTTCCCCCTCCCCTTTCCCCTGCCCCCCTTTCGCTCTCCGCCACTGGTAAGCCACAACAAACTACATGCAAGTGGTTACTCCATCTCCATTTCCTGTCCAACGCACAGTGGCATTCAAAGCGACATTTATCAATCAAAATTGGTCATTCATTTCGACAAGTAATTGAAAGTAATCACTCATCTTCAGTACAAGGCGATGGCTTTAAGGATATTTTTCCATAATAAATGACTGATGGGGATTCTTAGATAAATTTAAACTGAACTAAAGAAGTAACAAAGTCATAGCTAGTTGTGGTCCTTTGGGGCTATTTATCTTTGAAACATAAAGATTCCTTAATAATATATTATTACCTTAATGTCTCTTAGTATTCATTTATTTATTAAATAACACTTTGTACTTAATATATTAAATTTCTAGGGTCCCTTTACCCACTGTTCCTCTTTTGAGACTTCAACTGGTGGCTTTGCTCCTGCTCCTTTCGCTTCCTTCGAAGGCTGCCGCCATCACCTCAATCTCGGCGAACAACAGGGCAATAAAATATTTTACATTCGTCCCTCATACCGCAATAATTTCGCACAGTTCTCTGTAGCTGCAGGACATGAAAAACGAATGCCCGGAAAACATGGAATGTCCTGGGAGCAACATGAGACACACACACACAAAAGGGCGGCACATGCACCAAATCAAAATAATCCGCAAAGTGAAACTTGTAGCGAGGACCCGTTATTAATACAAGGAACATGAGCAGAAGTGGGGGCTGGAGGATGAGCAGGATCAGGAGAAGGATCAGAAGAAGCAGCAGCCTCCGAAGCCAAATGAGAGCGGAAGGGACAGCAAAAGCGGGTTTTTTGGAAAAATCAGCGGAAGCGGAAGAAAAGAAGCTGGAATGGTCAGCGGTTAATCTGATTATCCTTGCACACAGAGGACATGCCATGCGTATTATGCACTGCAAATAAAATCCAATCAACAAAGTAGATGGATATTTTATCATTAATTAATTCTCTATAAAAGAACCTCCAATCGAAATATTTTATATGTGATATATGTCATATATTATCTCCAATTCTATTTTAAATTAATTTAATAAATATTAATAATATAATTCATTTAGCACAGTGTGACCCCCGAGATTCAGTCAACCGAATATGTTAGCTTTTGAGGTCCCCGGCTCTTCAATTTTAGCCTCAAGTAATTATAACTTTGATGCAGTTGATCCAAAACCTTTGAAGCGCTTACGCGTGTATTTCGCGATTTCATTCATTTCATTTCAGGACGACGGCTGCCAAGGACAACGCCGCTGTCAAAGGAACACGCAGCCGGAGGAACTAGGAGCAGGCGGAGGATGTGGCAAGTGGCAAGTGGCAAGTGGAAACTGGCAAAACTGGAGCGCTTTTAGGCCATTTACCGAGCTGCAAAATCTTGCGCGCAGCCAAAGGCTTCGAGAGTCATTAAGTTTATTAAGTGGCCAAGCAGATAACCCAAATGAGTGCATGCCAAATGGAAGCCATCGCAATTTGCACTCATATCGGACTATCCCTAGGACCCACCACCAACACCAAGCGATCTATCTGCACTGGAGAAAAAACAAAGCTAGTTTTCTAAAAAAGTCCCACAGGTTTAGTTACATTTTTTAGCTATGAAGTGTTACTTATTTAATTTTGTAGTAATCTGTATTTAAAAGAGATTCTTATGAGTGTTTATGGAAGAGTTCTGATTTTTTGAAATCTTTTTGAAACAACAAGGATTAGAAATTACTTAGAAATCATAATGTTTTAACTATAAAATCAATTTTTAAATTAAGAAACTGAAGCCTTATAAGCTTTTTATAATAACTAATTATATGTATAATAATTTTTAATGTAAACCAACTCCGGTGTAACTTTTCTCCAGTGCGCTTATGCAAATAGCTCATACTCGGGAAAAATGTTTTTCCACAAGAGCCTGAATAAGGGCGAAGAGGGAAGACGGCAACGGTTGCGGAGATAACAAACAAATTGCCAGTGCAATTGCAAACTTGAGATTATCGTACTTAACTTTACTTAACGCACCACCACCACCAGCCCCCGTCGCCCGCTCCTGGCCAACTTTACTTAACTCTACTTAACTTTACGTTCAAGAGCAGCAGGGCATTCCTTTATCACTGCGAATGATGCAAAAATAATATCCATTGTTGCCCAAGAAACTTTTAACTGCCATAGGGAACTTAGAAGGAGGCCGGTCGACTTAGGGTGACCACAATTAATCTAGCAACTTTTCACACGTCTGCTTATTAGTTGAAAATATAAGCTTATTAAAACACAAACACATTATTATATGCACTTATAAAGCGAAAACATATTCAATTGCCCGCCTATTCGATTAGCATGCACCGATAACGACAGGCAGAGCCACAGCTAAAAGATGCCAGCTATGAAACTCGATAGATTAAAAACTAGTGTTGTAATTAATACTTATAGTATTTGTTAAATTTGAGTTAAGTTCAATTTTTTAAATGGCACTGTCGTTCCTAAACACAATTTAACATACTGACTTTGTTTTCTATACAAGGGCAGAAGTTAATAATTTAAAATTACTCATTGTATATAAAAATAAAATAAAAATAAATATTAAATAATAATCAGAAAAAATTGTTACTTGCTGTGGAGAATGCTGGATAATATCCGTTAAAAATAATTTAAATATTTAATTTTAATGCAATTTACTTTATTAAAAATAATAACAAAAGAAAACGGCCATGACACGCTCTGGTATTTTTTGGTATATTTAAACACACTAAAAATACATTATATTGGTATATTTCGGCGGCACGGACGGTATTATTAATCTTTATCGACGCGGTCACACTGGAAACACAGCGCAATCGACGTTAACATTAAACAATTGACAATTAAACAATTGGAAATTCCGGCAGGAGATCGCGCTGCCGCCTCCATACCGCCCCCGCCACGCCCTCAGCCACGGCCGCAGCCACCGCCACGCCCCCACCTTGCCAGCGAGTACCGTGTGTGTGCGTGTGTGCGAGAGTGTGTGAAGAAAAAGCGGAGCAAGAGGAAAGAAAAAAAAAACAGGGAGCGAAAAGAGAGATAAGAAATCCGAGAGGCGGACACACTGAGAAAAAGAAAACTCGGTGAGCGAGTGATCCAAACCGAGAACGGAGGAGCTAGAGGAAGCGGCAACGCTCTGCGGGATGGACTAGCGCCGGCCGAGATTAGCAGCCACTTGCAGCAGCAGCAGCAGGACCACCAACAGAAACCACCACCATGTCGTCCGCCGTCAACATACAGATCGTCTCCATGCCGAACCTGGCCAAGATCGAGAGCTTCCTGAAGGACGTCAGCTACCGGGAGACGATCGAGTACAGCGCCAACTTCAACACCCGGCTGTGCATCGAGCGGCGGCTGCGTCTACCCTTTCTCGATCCGCAAACGGGCGTTGCGCAGAGCCACTCGCAGCTGTTTCTGGACAAGCGCCAGCGAATGCCCGGCTTTCGTCAGGGTCAGATCTATACGTATCCGGCGGCCCGGTGGCGCAAGAGTCGCCGCCAGTACTTGAGCAAGATGTACAGGTGAGAATGGAGTCAAGGTTGCTGTACGGAATGTCACAGTTGAGGTTTTCCTGAGTATTTAGACTTTTGCAAATGTTTAGAAACCAGACATTACCTGGAAATGAGCGTAGGATTTATAGAAAATAGAGTAATTAGCTTGGTTTTGAAAGGAATCCATGATATGTATGTATATCCATAGACATAGTTCCTCGTAAAAGAGGTATAAGTATAGCTTGACCGTTTTAGGTATCAGGTTTAATATAAACTAGCCACTTTATAAAGCCTTAAAGCAAAAATATGATCCTATTAATGCGCAGGTGCTGAATTCCAGGGAACACTTTCCCTATTCTTAAAGAATACTCTAGTTTTATGTTAGATTTACAATGCTTTATCCAACAAATCCAACTCAACCGGATATTAATATGTATGTTTTTCGAGTACCAAGTACTTTTTGTGTTACTGATATCATATTGTATATCTCTGTGCATATGTTTCCTTACTTGGAATCGAGTGTATTTATGTGCATATGTATGTATTTATATAAAATTGAGACGACTTAGACCTCGATTTAGCTAGAACCCTTTAGTGTTTACTTTCTTCTAACAATGTGTATTAAATTTCATCCTTTTGTAAGCGTTTGAAATCGGGGAAAACTTTCAAAAGCATGATTTGTCAACGACCTACGTGGTAACTTAGTTGTTTGTACTTGCAAAGCTGTTTTTCTTTATAGACTCCATAAAAACAAAGACTTTGAGAGTTTTTTAAAAGATTTAGGTTGCTTCCTTCCATTGTAATAAGTTAATACCAAGATTTAACACCTATTTTATCCTACATTTGTATAATATAGTTAACCAATTATAATCCTAATTTATCTTTCTTCCATGACTTCCACAGTCGCTTTCCGGAACGACCATTTCAGGCGCTGCGTAAAGAGCACGAAGCTCTGGTGGCCAGCGGCGTCAATCTGGGTCTGAGCAGCCTAACCAGCGCCGGAGGAGGATCCATGCCCAATAGCAACAGCCTTGGCATGAGCTCTTCGCTGACGCTCAATATGCTAACGGGCGGCGGAGCAGCGCCGGCGGTTCTCGGTTCACTGCACAGCGACACTGCCCACGACTTTAATGGGGCCTTTAGCCTGGAGGAGTCCAGCTCACTGGGCGCCGCCGGCGGTGATACCTCCGACAGCAAGGACAGTCAACAGCAACAGCATCATCAGCAGCAGCAGCAACAGCATCAGTCTGTCAAGGAGGAGCATCTGCCCAAGGAGTGGTTCTACGATGATATGGATATGAACGATGTGGACTCTCTGGAGGAGCCCAAGTCACCCGCGGATGATGAATACGACTATGATCCGCGGTATGGCAACAAGAAGCGACGCAAGCGGCGGCCGGGAAAACGTGGAGGCGACTCTGGCGGCGGTGGCGGTGCCGGTGGTGGTGGTGCAGGCGGTGGCGGCGGCGGAGGTGGTGGTTCCAGCTCACGCAGACGCAGTGCCGCGGCCAGGTCGCGCATCACAACGACAGATGCGGCGCTGGACGCCTCGCTGGAGGCCATCGAGTCCGGCGAGAGTGTGCCGGGCAGCAATGGAGCTTCGCTCACTGGCAGTGGTGGCATCCTTAGCAGCAGCTTGGGCCCCGGAGGAGCAGGGGCAGGAAATTCGGGATCATCAGGCGTGGGAGGAGGAGGAGGAGCTGGCGGAGCAGGAGCAGCAGGCGGAGGAACTGCCGGATCTTCGGCCAGCAATCGACGATCCCGAGGTGCGGGAACACGCGGCCGACGGCGGGCCAAGGGAGCTGCAGGCGGTGATCCGCCCAGTCCCGGCATGGTCATTGAGCCGCCATCCTTTGAGAGTGCCGCTGCCGCGGTGGGTGTGGTCGAGGACGCGAACGCCCATCTGCGCAACTATCGGAAGTATCTGTAACCGGTCGGGCGAACAGCAACCTAATTGAACCCCGGAATATACCCACAAAAACCCCTTTGTTTTCGCATTGTTTTCTCGCCTCTGTACGTTTCGCGTCTAATTTAAAGCTAGTTTCTAAGCTTTAGTTGATTACTGTTGGCCTTACGACCCTTCTTCCCTCTTAAAAAACATAACGAAAAGTGTGAAAACGATATACATTGTGGACCAGAGGCGTAGAAACTAGGACTAGGCCTTAGCAAAGATCTTGTAATAATAAGATTCATAACAACCATACATTTCGAGAGAGCCTAAAGCCAACTCTAGAACTATTAAGAATAATTTAAAAAGCAACAAAATCGTATGACGTTATACATCTTGTTATTATAGGGTCTTTGGCCTTAGTCCCTGCACATTTTCCATGTTTTTGTCACTCTTAACTTTACGCTCCCATAGCCAATTGATTGTTGTTTTTTTTTTTATAACCATATTAGATGAACGCTAGATTTTCTAAAGTGAACTGTTTTCATATTTAAGGCTTGCAAAGGCAATGCATAATTTTATATACAGATTATATAGAAATTCGACTTAAATTTATATACTATAATATTTTACATCCAAAGTATGACGATTTTTTAAACAATTTTCATGAAAATCAACCATGATTTCTAAATTATTACAAAGATTATATTGAAAATCTGTAAAAATGTATGGCAAAAGTTCACTTTAGAAAAGCCCAGCGTTGGCCCATAACATAACACTTATATAATATATATATATGAGTGTACAGACATATATATATACATATTTATATGCATTATATTAGCGACTCTACTTAAAAGCCAGTCCCTCATACGGACCATGGCATTCCACCTAATCGCAATCTCTCGGTTTCTGTCTGACGCTGCGCAAGAAAAAAACAAGAAGAAAACAGGAAATGCCCCCCTTCCCCCTTTATAATCAATTATATTATTTTTTTATGATTATATATGTGTATCCAAATTTTAGTTAAAAACGAAACGAAACAATTCAACAAATTGTAATCTAATTTAGGCAAGTGCGTGGTAGGGTATTTCTAGCATATAGAAGAAGCTAACAAAACACTTTCGTAAAACCAAAATTTTTTCTCTAGGATCGTAATAATTCATAAGTTAAGCTGAGCTGAAAAAAAAAACAAACAAATTTTAACAACCAAAATGAAAAAAAAGAGCGAAAAGCTTATAATAAAATCAAGATCAAAGCAAAACAATGTGTACATTTCGTGAAATCAAAGTCCACAAAATTTTAATAAAAGCAAAACAAACAGAAAAAATTAGAATGAAACGAAATTTAGCCAGAAAACAAAACGGAAATAGGTTTCTAAGATGTTTTAATATATTTTGTAATAACAATTGGTTTGTGTTTGTATTTCGCAAAAGGTTAACCCAGCCAGCAAAGGCAGAAAAGAGTGGTTTTCACAACGATCAGTTCCTTGAGGGGATTTGCCGATCATCGATCATGGGGCTCTATTGCTGGCGGGTGTCGTCTTTATCTGGAAAAACAATTACCTCTTTCCGCGCTTGGCGGACACCTCCGTGGATTTGGCGGAACGCTTGCGTTTCTGGCTGCCCTGAGGCTTTTCCTGGGGCTCTGGCTGCTCCTCAAGTCCATTTTGGGATTTATCATCAGTGGCTTCTTTCTGTGGCTGCTCCTTGGAAGATTTATTCTTTGGTTAGTTACTTTTCTTGGGTTTACTTTGGCATTTACCTACCTTGTTCTTCTTGAGTTCAGACACTGAGGTTTTCTCCGCGGACTCCTTGGACTCCTCACCGCCCAGAAGCCTCACTATCTCCGCGTACACCTCCTCTACATTGGGAAACTTGAGAGCACGCGGTGGACCACGCTTTAGACCAGACCAAAGAAGCACCGGCTTGTCTTCCTCCTTTTCTTTCCTTGGCCCGACCAGACTCAATTCGAAAGCACCGCGGCGTGGAGCTCCGGTTGCGTTCAGCCGGAGTTGGAGCTGCTGGAGCCCTCTCTCCTGGAGAGCGGCATGCAGCTCCTCTGCCCGGCGACGAAAGACGCGTCAGGATTTGCAATGCTCCACGAACAGCGCCGGCTGCGAGGGATCGAGCTCTTCAGCTGGATCATCCCTGGCCGCTGGCACCTGCAAGATGTGAACTATAATAAAAACAAGTAAAAACACAAACACTTTGGACTTACTGCTGCTTTTTTTGTGCGTTTCGGCGGCATTTTGCGTATTTATATTATTTTTTAACTTTTTATTGAAAAAATTGCGCGAAAAGTGCAGTGTGCTCGTATTTTTTCTAGACGACAGCTGGGCAGACTTTTTTCTAATCGATATATCGATATTTTAAATGTTTGTGTTGAGCTTATTTTTAATTTATTGATTCTAGTAGTGACAATATATTATTTATAAATGCATTAAAAGGTTTTGGGAAATAACACAAATAATGCATTCCATATTGGTATTTTTATATATTTTTAAAAACCACCACCCAACGAGAGAGAGTTCTGTCAACTAACTTCTGTTAATTAACGCTGTTAATGAATTTTACTTTCTGCCAAATTTTGCATGTATCTGTAAACGGGTCAAATGCTATCTAGGAGTGTAAAATTTAAAGTAACAGCTTCAGAAATCAGAGCCCCAATTATCTGTAAGCCTGTAAAATCGCTGTATTTTACTGTAAAATGTAAAATGTAAGTCTAACAGTGGCAAACTGTTGCCGTTTCGGTGTGACCAGCTGCAGTGGTTGGGAAAATCCCCCTCCCCTGTGCCAAAGTTTTCAGTTTCACGAAGGGAAACCCGCACAGGCACACTTATTAAATAAAATTTTTTCGACGAAAGCGGGTGTGTTGCGGACCGACGTTAAAATTTCGAGCCAAAAACTACTTAATGTATTTTCTGCCGCGTTGAATTAAAAGTGGTTGTGTGCTTCGTGTTGGTATATCCTCTTTTTTTGACACCGCGCGTTCTGGCGCCCGTTCGCCGCTGTGTGTTCTTGTGTGCCTGAATTTTTGGAGAGCCGGGCGAAGAAGAATCAGAATTAAAAGAAGAAATGCAAGAAGAGCTGAACTAACGGCGTGTTAAAAATTGTCTTATTTACTTCGTTATTTACTTGGCCGTTGCTATTTTTTTCTTGTGGCTATTTGCGTGCGTTCGGTTGTGTGTTTAAAATTGGCAGCTGTCACACAGACATAAATAAAAATAATAGAGAAAAAGAAAAACAAAACAAAATTGCCTCACTTTCGTTAGCATTCTCGTATTTTTGTTGTTTGTATTTTGTTTGCATTTGCATTGAGTGCGGCCGAAGTTAATTGTTTGAAATGCAATGAAAAATGGCTTAGAGTGCGAATCTGACGATGACAACAAAAAGGGAAGAGCGAAAGCATAGGACGCCAACGAAATAAAATATATATCGAGAAAACCGAAGAAGCGGCAGGCAACAAAATTGAAATTAACTGCACAACCAATAGGACCGAAGGAGCGCTCAAAAACTCAAATCCGAATTAAAGCCACCTTTTTTTTTGTTGTTCTTCATGTATGTGTGTGTGTATTTGTGCGTGTCTGTGTTTGTCTCTCTGTGTGTGTGTGTGTATTTACCACGAAGCCAAAACTTCGTAATCGAGTTTTCTTCTCCCTCTCTCTCTCTCTCTAACTGACTCTCTGTGTCGCATCGCGGCTCTCTCTTTTACCTGAGTTTTGAGTTTTTGAGCGCTTTTTGCCAGAATCTGGCTTGTTATTGGCATCGCCAGCACCGTTACAGTAACATTTAAAGGTAAGTTTATTAATTGAAATAGTTTCTGTAAGATTTATAATTGTAGAATTTGAAATATTGAGAGTAATTTAAAGTCACACACACAATTTATTTTAGAGGCTTGAAAACAGGTTTTCTAGCTGGCCGAAGAAGAAGAAGAGCGGCATCAGACAATGAGCGCGAATTACGTTTGTATCATTGTGTGTGTGTGTGTGCGAGTGTGTGCTCACTAAGGTGGGGCAGATTCAAGAGATCAGCTTGAATTCTCCTCTCTTTGCATCTCTTGCCCCCGCACACACCTTTCCCGCGCTCTCTCTAAAATTTTCAACATTAAAATGTATGAACTAAAGTTATTCAATGCGATTTCCCTTAGGGCTAGTAGGAAAATATTTAAATTTATTAAAATAAAATAATGAAATACGAATAAATTGGGTAGTATCTTTGTATAAAGTCAATAAAACTTTATTTTATATGGCTTTTTCAGAGGACTTATTAATTGAATCAAGCCTTATTTTACTTGTAATACATAAAAGCGGGGAATTATATATTTAGATTGTTCGAAAAATTATATCTATTGATATTCATTTATAAATAATGAAACAAAAGCACCTCCTAACAAGGTGAGGTAAAAGTAACGATGGCATCTTTATCATATTTCTTCTGAATGTTATAGTATTAGCTTAAAAAATATTTAGTATTCAGTTTAAAAAAATCTTTAAAATTACTTTTGACAAAGATTTAAATAATTTTGATCATTTTGATTTTTCTACGACTCTATATAGTAATATCCTTGAGGTAACAAACTCCTATTGCTTTTCGTTACTATGCAGACTGTGTTCCACAAAGATATTGTTGCAATTTCTGACTAAATTATAATATTTTTAAAGCAAAAAAAAATAATACCTTAAAGACAAAGGTATCTCAAGTCTCATAATGATAATCATAGCTTAAAAATCCGCGCAAATATGATCATATATGCCCAGAACGAGCTTTTCTTCAACTGTTCGTCTTTCTGAAGCTTGACTGTAGTTTCTATGCTTTTCGGTGTGGTTGTTTATATATTGACCATGCGGTCATCGCAGCGCCTACGTCATCATATTGTTAATACAAGGCACCCGTTACGGCCCAGCAACAACGTCGACTGCGACGACGATGCCTCCGCCCAGTCAACCCAAAAAAAAGAGAAAAAAATAAATAAATAACAACGGCTACAACAGTAACAGAAGCAGTGGCAGCAAATACAAAAAATTAGCCTGCCAGTTTGTTAATGAATGCCGTTTGTTGTTGGCCCACAAAAGGGGGGTTGGAAAATTAAGGGGGGAAGTGTGGGGGGGCTAGGAAAGTAGCATAACTTGACCAAAAGCCCAGATTGTTGCTTAATTATTAAGATTAAGCGATCGAGCTTTTTTGTAACTGTCTTGGAAATAAAGGAAGGCAAGGAAATTCGTATTTATTATTAAATAAAACTTAAACTTTTAAACATTTATATATTTATCTATAATAAAATAGAAAAATATATATAATATATAAACAAGAAGATGTTTTAAAGTATATTTACTTTTTAAATATGTAAAACTTCTTTTAAATCTATCATTTTTGTAGTTCTGTTAATAGTTTTGGTAGTATTCTCAAATAGATCTCTTATTTAGTTCTTAAATTAGATATTTAGGAATTATAGCTTCACAAAATTATGCGGTAATTCTTATATTATTTCAAGTCCGACTTCTGCTTCTTTATATTATCTGCTTAGCAAACTTATACTATTCAAACAAAAAAACAACAAACAAACACAAAGCATTTACAAAAACGAATTTAAAAAAAAAGCCCATTTGAATATATTAAACAAAGCAAAGTTGCGCTGATATGCAATCGCAGTCGTTGACGCAAAGGTTGCAACCTAATAATGATGATGATGATGTCATTGTATAATAATTTAATTTAAATTTTTGAAATTTTAGATTTACTGAGCAAGTAATTCCAAGATTCTATATAAATAATATTGCAAAATGATCATTTATTTCCTTTCGCAGTAGCAATAGGATGACCCCCATAACCGGGGATCGTTTTCATTGAGAAAACCTTCAATTGAATGTGGCGATAAGCTAAAGAACTTGAACGATCTCATTCAACATTGAGGTTTTGTTTTTTATCGATGGGGAAGCCAGACCCAACCCCTATATCTTTTCTAATTTAGGTGACGAACGAGGGGGGGGGGTAACGTCAAGCATAATTAAAGCAGTTCATTAAATTGAAGAGAGAATGAAACGGAGAATCACACTCAGGGGCAAAAGCTAATGGCAGAGTCGCTTTTTTGGTCATGCTTCACCTATTTGTTATTGTCACTTTACCAGCTATGCTCTCTCTCTTTTTATTTCTATCTTTCTCTCAATGTGTGGGAAAACTATAAAATAAGACTTGCATTTTTGTCATCGATAACATGGCTGGAAATGTTGGTCAGAAAGTGTGATCTCTAATAGATGGAGGGGAAATCATAGTGTATGGGAACTTGATTTAGTTTTGATAAATATATCGAATTTTATAGAGGATTTTATATCCCAAAAGCTTAGAAATTAGATATTTTCAAGTGTGTTTATTGACTTAAACTTGCCATTTTGTCATTTTTCAATATATTTTAAGTATCTTTTACCTTGTTTTTAAGTTCGTTACCGATTGACATTGATCTTGTGTGATTCCCCGTTTGTAATTCAATTGTTCTTGAATTCAATCAGCGGAGAACTTTCGTTTATCAAATTTTCTTTGTAATTTTGCAGATATCAATTCTTGATTCACACTTTTTTCTCTGTTTCACAAACCTACGAATATATTTACCATCCAAGGCGGGTGTCGTATCTTTTCGATGGCTGCTGCCTGAATATTATGATATCATCGATATCTTTTGACCCCCTTTTCTCTCTCTCTCCATCTAAGAGATTTATGTATGTTGTTATTTCTTTCTTTTGGCTCTTGGCTTGGCTTGCAATTGCCTACATTTGTTATAATTAAAATGGAACGCCCAAAAAAACTTGAAGAATTAAAAATACGCAACGCAGACGAAGCAGATATCTGTGTATTCCAAATGGGTAAATATATATATTTGTATATATATACCTATAAGTTTATGCGTGTGCGTGTGCGTGTGCTTATGTATATTGATATCATCGTGGTCTGTATCTTTTTTTTTTTTTTTTTTTTGGAAGCTTTACCATGTGGATTTTCGGATCACATTTTGTAGTCGTTTTTTTTTTCATCTCTCAAACAGCTGGCGATTGCGTCATTTTCTCTCTTCTTCTCTTTAGTTACTTTTGTCGCTCTTTTGTGCGATTTTTAATCCAATTTTGTTGGCCACGAAGAAAAATCCTTTTATGATGTCATTTTTGATATTGCATGTCGCATAGGCCGAAATCCTTTTGCCGGCAAGCCAAAAAGGAGCAAAAAAAATCAATAGTTAGGCCAGGAAATATTCAGTGTTTTATTTTCTGCTCCACAAACAAACAAAAACACACGCAGAAAAACAAAAACAAAAAAAATAACCAAAAACAAGGCCCGCTGATGTCATCATTCATTGCCTTCAATTTGGTTCGTTCGTTCCTTTATTCCGTTCTCTCTTATCCATAATATTCACATTCTCCACGCCACTCCACTTCCTTCGTTTCGTTTTAGATAGTTTCCAAATTTATTTATTTATGTACTTATTTTTTAAATTATTACCTATATTAATAATGTATTTAATTCATTATTGCAATGAGTAGGAGAAGGAATTTTTATAGATCCAAAAAGTAGAGGGCCAGAAAGTCTAGATTTCCCCCAATGGAACTAAATATATTATATGTATATAAAACCCATGCTGAATAGTCAAACCGCATCAAAATTTATATTTTGATAAAGTTCATTCCCAAACGAATTATTATTTGCCAAAAAAAATAAAACCGGGGAACTATACCGATAAATGTAATTACAATTTCCTAGAAAAACATATATTTTATTGTACAATATTTTTTGTAAAGAAAACTACAACTAAAATAATGGAAAATTAAAAAATTAAAGTGACATGACTAGATTGATTCGACAGTTGATGATCTAGATCTGATCTAGAATATACATCAATTATAGATTGGGAAACAACTGTAGACAAAACTCTTTAATACCCTGTAAGAAGTTAAAAAATTGATTCTTTAAGCAAATT